GTAATTATCAGTCAATTCCTATAAATTAGCATTCTCCTTTCAATAGTATTTTACAGTGATTTCAGCAACTAATTCTGTGTTACACACAAATTATTTTCTCTAAAAAGAATTGTGAAGGGTAATGAAAAGTTTTTTTTTTTACTTGCTTTATTTCTTAGGCAATAGAGCCAGCATTAGAGGCAATCCTAGGCCACAGATCAGCACATTCCTTTGCTACTGGACCAGTGATGGCTGAGCCTGGAAAAAAATAAAATGTTTTAGACTAATAGTTGAGCATTAATCTATTAAAGATCAATTATGAATTAAAATTAAATCCGGCAGCATAATCATACCTACAAAATAGAAACTGATCTGATGGAAATATAAAATCTTTCCAGAAATATTCAGAGTAAAATCATCCATCATACATTTAGTGAAAGTTCACCTCTTACTTAGGAATATGAATAATATGAAATATAATTAATTGATCAATCACTACACCTTGCAAATAATATTCATCACCTGTTAAAAATATGAAAGATGCATTAAAAAAGTACATCAATAAAAAGGTTTTACAACTCCCAATTTGAACAATTTAATTTTCCTATACCTAGCTTTCATCTAAAATTCCATGAAGAAAATTGAATACTAGCATTATTATTATTTTTTTTTTAGCATCCAAGTCTAGATCTACAAAAATAAATATTACAGATAGACTAGACCTCTACCAAAAATTTAATACATACCTTTCATTTCTCCTTTATTATTTACTATAACTCCCGCATTATCTTCAAAGTATATGAAGACGCCATCCTTCCTACGGTAAGGTTTCCTCTGCCTGACTACTACTGCAGGATGCACTGTAAAAAGAGAGATTATTTAGCATGTGTTTGTAATCATATACAAATTAAGAGAAAACCCTAGATACATATTTACCTTTCCATTATACTGTTCTTCATAATGAGCATATCTAAATAAAGACCATCTGAAGTTTCAGGTATATGTCCAGAATAGTACTATATGTGAAAAAATCAAAGGGACCTGTCTTGAACATACTAATACATATGTAAAGTTTGTAGAAATGTAAACAAGACAACAATTACTTATCAAAGTCCATAAATATACACTTCCATGGCCAAGTCTACTGACGTAATGGTGCACACGCTTTGTGTTCCAAGAAATGCAAACGAATTTCCATGGGCATTCTGGCAAGATAGAGCTTTAGACATCTGGCAATTTATTATCTAAAGAACCAGCCCAAGCTCCATTACCCCAACTACGGATGGAGCAGGTTGCTTTCCTTGGCCGGACTACAAACCACTAGAGACCATGGCAATAGGTCATGTGGTCCTCTGTACAATTACCTTTCTTCCTCAATTCAGGCTTTCCCTTCTTGACAGTGGCAGCGACAATATCTCCTACAGCAGCAGCTGGCAGACGGTTGAGACGACCCCTAATACCAGACACGGAGATGATGTACAAGTTCTTGGCTCCTGAAATTCAAAAGAAACCATGAAACAATTATGCAAGTTCAAAAGCCTCATGTTTAAAAGTGAAAAATATTATTTCCACTTTATGCCATTAATAAAGCATAAACAACCAATTCTCCACATGTTTGATCAGAATACATACCTGTGTTGTCAGCACAGTTCATGACTGCCCCGACGGGGAGTCCCACAGAAATGCGGAACTTTCCTCCCGCGGTACCTCCACGTCCTGTAAAAGATATTTATTTGTATTCAAATTATACTTCAAAAACATTTCACACACACACACACATCCATGATTCCCATTTTATCTAACCAAACATTAAAAATAGAAAAGATAAATATTCTGGAAAAGTGGTGAATAACTTGTATTCAAAAACTATTCCTAGTCAACCAACAACTATAATCATCATTGTTACCAAACCTATTTTGAATAAAATACTCAAGTTGACTTTCTATAATGCATTGGTGTATTCTTTGCAATTCGTGCTCTAATTAGTCAAACCACCAGTAAGTATAGTAGCAGTAGTAAAGAAAGAAAAAGAAAAAAAAAAAAAAATGCAATCATGCTTGATATGATTATATGTATTACATCACTTTGGCAATCATGCTTTGAAGAGTTTCCAATAATACTATAAAAAGCTGCACATAAAAGAAATCTTGTGAAAATGCACTGGATTAAATGTATTGTGTAGAGGCAATTTTTGTCTGTAAAACTCCAGTATAGCGACACTAATGGTGGTAATTAAGAATGGCAATCAAAATGCGGAGGCCACTAATAACTCAACATTCCAACAAAGGCCTAACAAAAGCCCCTCTATATTCAAGAGAGACCTCGTAGTCAAAATTAGGAAATTTATCACCAACTTTCCTATTGAACTTCTTAGGATCTAAAATCAAACTTGTTCTATAAATAGTAGATCAACTATGTAAATGACGTCAGTGGTACAGATTTACACCGTTAGACCCCTATGTATGATGAATCCATTTGTGGGGGGTACATCAATAACAGATGCCAAATGTGTCCAAGGGGTTGTTTGAAATTTGTTTAGACCTTGTGCTACAGAGGATTTATATCTAGATTGTCATTTACACCTAAATTAAAGTATATGCAATGCACACCCTACCAACAGCATTGACACTGATATTCCTGACACTATACTGCAGTGGTAACTGTGCCAGGGTCACCCCCCTTTACCTTTACTTTATAAGGGCATGAATGTTACCTTAGCAACTGTAGGATAAATGAGCTCTATAGCATTTATGCAAAGGTTACTACATCAAATCCAGAACCACCCACCTAACCCTCTGGAAAACAAATTCCAAGTATTCAAAACCATATGGAGTGTAACACTGACAAGATTAAATGAACATGGCAGCCTGCAATATCTCCTCTAAGGGGCAGTTAATGCCCCAACCCCAGCCTGATACACACAGCCCTGCCAAATATAATTTTGTTCGACTGGTCAAAATCTCCATCCTCCTGGACTTTCCTATTCCAGGACTGGGGGTTACCTAAACATTACCTAGTAACAATGTTTTCTTTATACTTTTATCTAAAATGACCTCTCTCTATCAAGATACTTGTGCGATTCCTGGGACCCACTTGTTTGTTTACGTGGGAGCAGTGCCACACTGCAAGTGTGATGAGGTTGGATACTTTGCATATAAAAAATACATAATACAACTACAGAGGCCAGTGGTGCATTTACACCAGCCACATCCGATTCCTCTTGGTTAGGAGTGCACCACACATGAATGTGGGTGTATAAACATTTCCAGGTAATCAGTATGAACTTAACTTACATCAAACCGAGTGTGGTGTCTTCGCCACCTTGTCTGTTTAACCACGCATGTGAAGGAAATCATTCAGGGGGCTTTTCTGCCATGCTCTCAGCCTCTTCCAATGCAAGAACAACATGTGGCCCCCTTGACCTCACCCGTTAAACCCTCTCCACACACTTCGGGAAATTTTTTTTTATCTCATTGAATATATAATATTGGTTGTAAATTCTAAACCGCAACTTCAAAGAATAAGCTAAACAGGCGAGATAACAAGGAGTTGGTCATGCTCTTAAGCAATTACATGAAGCACTGTGTATCAAACTTAAATTTTCGTTACAGTGCCACCCAAGAGACTGACGATCTTAGTATCCCTAGATTCATCTCTGGACGTCATGGGAACCAATTCTGTGTACAAGTCGCATTTCACCCGCGATCTCCCTGGTGCCCCACATGCCCTCCACTGCCATCGAGGCCACAAATGCTGGCGTTTTGGGGGTTTCTGCGCAATGAGTTCTAGAATGCCAGAATCTACGAACAGGAATCCAGTAACACCAAATTGGTCGTGATCCATCAAGCGCAACTACTGTGAAAAATTCCCAATTAAACTTTTTTACAATCTCCAGTGAACGACGCGCAGACATGCAATCGCAACACGCATAGGTAACCAGCCCGTCTACGCAAGACTAAACCTTAAGACTTGAAACAGCGACACCAAAGAGGATCGCTTTCCCAAGGAACCGAGAGGGATCGCTGTCTGGACCGTCGGCTCTGCAGCGAGCCAGTTGGACCGTCGTCACTGCACCGAGCGCACAGCTAGACCTATCAGACTTTCCGAATACTTGCAAAATTTCTCGCGCTTTGGCTCAGCGAAATCTCGAGGCAGATCGAGCCTGCAACACGCAATCGCCAATTAGTTCGTGTTTCTGGCGATTTCTATTCAAAAAACGCAATTCGTCCGCGGTTTTGGCGACTTTTTAAGGCTATTTCGAGCGACCAGAGGGGCGTGCGGGCGGCGGGGTGTCGGAGGGAAGGACATGAACCTCGCGCCGTTCCCCGCAGCCGAGGGATCCGCTCCTGGCGAAGGGAACACGAGCTCAACGAGGGACTTCGGCTCGACTTTCCCGGAATTTTGCGGAGGTCGTGGAAGAGGCTGAGAGTTTACGGGTCTGAAAGCTTTATTCGCCGCGTGGCAATGGCTGTGCGGTGCGCGGTGGATGTGGCTGAAGGCAAACGGCCCCGGGAAGCACACTCTCCAAAGGGGAAACTATCAAAACACTTTCGAGTACGAGAGCGACATTGTCCACCCGGTAGAAACAAAACTCAATTTTCTCATTAATATTGCGGATATCAAGCGCAAAATAGTTTCCAATGTATAATTCACGTCTTCAATTCCACATTTACACTCATGACACTTAATCCAGGCACTCGATGACGGATATATAAGTCGATAAAAACACAAGACTCTGAACGCACCTCTCTTCGACATTGTGGTGGGGTGATGAAGAACTGACGAGTGCGCATGCGCGGCGCAGATTATTTGTGTTGCTCTCGTTCTACGGGATCACTATTCCGTAAACTCTTCGGAATAGTCATTATCTTCACTTACATTTAAATATATTTTTTCTAATAGCTCTTTTTGTCTCTATGGGGTATATTGGATGTGGTAATATGGATTAGAGTTTATATATGAAGCACTAGTTTGAACGGAGGACGAAGACTCTACGCGACTGCACAGCCATTTTTGTGTTGTTTTCACTTTACAGAATCACTATTCCGTACCTATCCCACGACATTCAATACATTAATCTAAACTCCCCCATTTTTACCGTAATAAATTCATTATTCACTATGCGATGATTTTATAAGGCAATGGGGACGGAATAGGCGGCGTATGTGAAGTACTAGTTTGGACGGAGGACGGAGACTCTACGCGAAGTGCACGGCCATTTTAGTGCGCTTGTGTTGACGCTGGGAGGAGGCAGTGACAGGTAACGTTGCTTCGTTTTGGCCTCTTGTTTGAAGTTTGCTAATTCTCCAGTGGGTATACTGCTTCATCCTCGGTGCCGAAGGAATTTGGCGAGGGTCGGCAGAGCGTTCAGTCGCGAGCGAAGGAGGAAATTTGAAAATGAAATCGCGCTCCCGTTATAGTCTACGTGGAGTACACGGCCATTTTTGTGAGGCGATGGTGGCCGACCCGTGGACTTTCTGCGCGCCGACGGCCCTGCGGCTCGGCTCCTGCTCTCTCGGTGTGGGCCGCCGACTCTCGCGAAAGCCCCCGAGGCCGGAATTGGAGTGCGAGCGAGTGCCAAAGGAGAGCTGCTCCTCGGACAAGCCACAGGGGAGGGGGAGGGGGCGGGTCCCCGGGTGGACGCGGTGCACCTGTAGCGCCAGCCGAGCCTCTTGGCCTTCCTCGCCCGGATCCTCACTGGCGCTTGCTTTCTGCGTCAGTTCTCGCCCTCGGCCTCTCCCCCTTGGCCTGGCCGCCCGCGCTGTCGGGCCGAAGGGCGTTCGGCGTCACTGCGCTGGAAGGCACCTGTCGCCTCCGCTCCTGACGTGACAGTCGCCTCGCTCTCCCCAGGGCAGAGGCAGCGGGTTTCTCTTGATTCATGTCTATTCGCTTATGTCAGATCAGCAAGGGGTGTCGCCCCCCACTTTTAATCTTAATCCCTTCATTTTCAACTTTAATCTTCATCCCCCTCTTTTTCCTTCACTTCTACTTATTATTATTATTGCTATCAGATCAGGTCATATACTGGACATTATATACAGCACAAGTATACTAATTCATCATACATAGATTTTGTTTATGTATTGATATGAATTCAGATTTATTCAGATTGTATAGTATATAGTATTTTAGTACTGTTGTTAGGTATATTTTTCTTACCCTCCTTTGAGAACATTTACTTTCAAAAAGATTAACTAATTAATTTTTTTTTCAGAAAAGACTAGAAGATGGCTCCCCGAGGTAAAAAGAAAGAGGCGTCCTCCCCTCGGAAACAGCTGAACATCAAGGGATTCTTCAAGGCCTCAATGAAGCGGGAAAGAGACCAGGAGGAGAGTCCAAGCAAAGCAGAAAAGGCCGTAGAATCCCCCAAAAAGAGATCGAGACAGTCCAAACAAAGTACAAACAACAACAATAATAATGCGGAAAAGGATATTCCTGCCAACAACAATAATAACAATAACAAACATAATAATAAAAGAAGCAACACCAGAAAAGAAAGGCAAAGGCTCTGCCGCCCAAGAGAAGCCGGCCGCCTCAAAGAGGAAGCAGAAGCAGAAGCAGGAGCAGCCGCCGCCGGTAGATGTAGAGGAAGAGGAATCAGATCCACTATACATCGCAGACGTGGATGACCTGACAGGGTCCGACAAAGAGGACGACCCAGATCCCGTGCTCAGCATTGCCGACTCACCAAGCAAAGAGACCTTCATTCTGACGCCTCAGAGCCCTGTGCAGAAGGTAGGGCCCCAAAAGATGTATTTTGAATGTTCAGTTAATTTATTCACTTCTGTTCACTCTTATAGTAGGCCTAATCTCTTGTGGACAATGGCCCTTGTATGGCATTGTTGCAGAAGCATGACCCTTGCTGTAGCTTGACCCTCTAAGCTTCAT